TTGTTATCAAAAAGATATAAAATCTTTTGAGAACGTCTGTTTTTTGGGTTGATAAATGGATCAGCGGAAAGAGTTTTATAAATATTAGTTATAGCTCATTATTATTTTTAATAGTATTCTAAATCTTATATAAGTCTATGTAAGTCTATTTAATTTCAATTTTTAGAACTATAGATGAGATAATAATTTATAATATTATTATAAAATTTTATAAATTCAATACTATTTTTATTATCTAAAAAGTAAGCAATCAAAAAAAAAAATAATAAATTAATTAAAGAAATATTAAATGTATTTTATATAAAATAGAGTATTATAATTGAACAGCCTTTAAAAAATTTTTTATTAATAAAATTAATAAAAAAGTTTGATCAAATTAAACATGTAAAAGATATTTATAAACAATTGATAATTGAAAAAATAAGATATAAAATGGTAAATCAAAGTTTATAATATTTAGAATTAATGAAAAAATCTATATATGGAGATTTTTTTTAGAAAAATATAATTCTATATATCTAATTCCTATAGTAAAATATAATGCAAGAGAATTATATTGTAAAGATATTTTTTTTTATTTTTTTTTAATTATTTTAATAATTAAAGTTATATAAAAAATATTATTAGTTAGAACAATGATAAGTTTTTTTTTAATAAAATAATACAGGAATTTATACTAGTATATAAATGCAAATTTTCATGAAAAAATAGTAATATCTTTTTTACTATAGCCAGAACAATGCCTGGATCTCAGTTCAATTGAGTATTTATAAGATGAACTTGAATGATGTATATGAGTAAAAAAAAGTTAATTAAAAAATTTTGATAAATTAATAATTTTTCTGTACAAATTTCAAATGAAATATATCAAAATTTAATATTTAGCATAAAAAATTGAGTAAAAGTTGGGATAAAAGCATGTAACTATTTAATAAATCAAAAAATTAAAAAAAAATTTTTTTTAAATAAAATTAATTGTTAAATGGTTTTTTTGATTTTTTTAAAAAATTTCTTTTAATTTTAATTAAAGAAAAAAAAATTTTTTTATTATGTTTAATAAAGTATATTTATACATAAAATATCATATTACATTGTTATATAAAAAAAATTTTTTTTATAAATTATTTAAAAAAAACAATCGAAATTTTAAATAATTTATTAAAAAAATTTTTTTTAATTTAATTATTTAATATATAATTGTTAATGTTATAATTTTATATTATATTATAAATAGTAAATTAATGACAATAATTTGAATTTTAAACTTTTGGCCAGGGAGTATATATAATATTTTTTTAATTATTATTGATTTAATATAAAAAAAAAAAAATTAAAAATAAATTATATTTTGATTACAGTAAATCTATTTAATATTCTGGTGCTTAGGTGAACGAATTACAGGAATGACAATTAGTTAATAATATCAAAATTAGAAAATTTTGCACAAGGCAAAATATGCAAAACTTGAATCGTTTAAATAATTAAATAAAAACAGTCGTAATTAATGCATAAAAACAAAATATCTATCAGATTGCAAGCATTTAACAATGTTTGTTCTATTTAGCTTTTTTATTCCTGCCAGTTTATTGAGCGATCTTAAATCTCTAATTTCGCAAACGTGAGCGCATTATTTAGTCTCTTTCTCAGGAACAATAATTTGTGTAGGCATTTTAAATCTACTGCTACGTGTTGCTTCGCTGTATCTAGTCGAGAACATCCTATTCATTTATTAGATGCATACACAGGAAGAGTAAATACTCAAAATGTCAAATATTATTTAAAGATAATTAATTGATGGCTTGCTTCTACACACATATAGGTTAGGTGTTCTTACATAATAGTCGACCATCGCGAACAAGTCGTGGGTCCCAACGCGTTATCGTTCAATTTAGATGGATCCAAGTATTGAACGATTTTCCCTTTTCCCTTTTTTTAAAGAACCTGGTTTTTATAAAATTATTGAACGATTTAAAACAGGATTTATTGTGGATATAAGAATATGATTAAAATATATAACACAAATCGACCTGGTTATGATGGAGATGAATATCCTACGACTCCTGCGAGAAAAAGTAAAGAGGGACAAAAAGGTATATTTGATTATTCTGAATAAACTATATCCTATTATATTTAATTTTTGA